ATGGTAGTTTGAAACCACAATGAGAAAGTGCCAAATGTATTTTAAATGTATGAGTAGTGCCTCGAATTCCGATACGTCGCACACAAATGCGACAAATACTCACGTATTGTTACTTTGAGTTAATATATATTCTTAATCCTGCCCATCTATTAGCCCTCCGACGAAAAGAAATCTTCAAGGTCGTTCTTGGAGTCACTTAATTTAGACATTCTACCAAACTTAGCTTGATTTCAATGTAAATTTTGTGTGAATTACCATCTAAATACTAGTAAATACTATGATACTGTGGCTAGATGTCTTAAATTTACAAGGTTCATCATACTGTACTCGGAAATCTCACTTTTCCATTTTGCCACAACGTAGAATTTCAAGAAATGCGCTTCAGTTCAAGGCCATTCTAGTCTTCAAACCTCAGTTATAAGGATTTGATATTTATCTACCTTTATTAATAATTGTAGTTTGTACAATTGTGGATGTCTGATATCGTTTTGAAGGTGTCGATATACGTGTTCTGGTAGCGAATTCCAGTAATTCACTACTCGAAGCGAGAAACAGAACTCCAGACGTAGACTATTTGATCTCAGTTTTTGAAACTTTTTAGATTATCCTCTCAAACGATCAGTCCTAGATGGAAGAAAAAGATTATAAATATTACCACCAAGGTCATCGTTCAGTATACGATAAGTCAACATTAGATCACTCTGTAGTCTGCAGTACTTACTTACTTACTTACGCCTGTTACTCACAATGGAGCATAGGCCGCCGACAACCATTCTCCAACCCACTCTGTCCCACACTGCCTTCTTTTCTAGTTCCATCCAATTCTTGTTCATTTTTCTCATATCTATCTCCATTTCTCAGAGTAATGTATTCTTTGGTCTTCCTCTCTTCCTTCGACCTTGAGGATTCCATATGAGGGCTTGTCTTGTGACGCTGTTCGGTGCTTTCCTCAATGTGTGTCCTATCCACTTCCAGCGCTTCTTCCTGATTTCTTCCTCCACTGGGATCTGATTTGTTCTCTCCCACAGTAGGTTGTTGCTTATAGTGTCCGGCCAGCGGATCTGAAGTATTTTGCGTAGACAACTGTTAATAAACACCTGTACCTTTTGGACGATGGATTTCGTAGTTCTCCAGGTTTCCGCCCCATACAGTGGAACTGTCTTGACATTTGTATTAAAAATTCTGACTTTGGTGTTGGTTGCTAATTGTTTTGAGTTCCAGATATTCTTCAGTTGTAGATATGCTGCTCTTGCTTTGCCAATCCGTGCCTTCATATCTGCATCAGATCCACCGTGTTCATCGATGATACTGCCCAAATATGTAAAGGCTTTTACATCTTCCAAATCTTCTCCGTCAATTGTGATTGGATTGGTGCATGCTGTGTTGTATCGAAGAATCTTGCTTTTCCCTTTGTGTATATTGAGACCTATTGCGGCTGAGGCTGCAGCTACACTGGTTGTCTTCTCCTGCATTTGTTGTTGTGTATGCGATAGAATAGCCAAATCATCTGCGAAGTCTAGATCATCCAATTGCATCCTAGCTGTCCACTGTATCCCGTGCTTCCCTTCAGATATTGATGTCTTCATGATCCAGTCGATCACCAGGAGAAAGAGAAAGGGTGAGAGTCAGCAACCTTGCCTGACACCGGTCTTTACTTCGAACGACTTTGTCAACTGTCCTCCATGAACGATTTTGCAGTTTAATCCATCGTAGGAATTCCGTATGATATTGACTATCTTCTGAGGCACGCCGTAGTGTCGAAGAAGCTTCCATAGGGTTGTTCTGTCCACGCTATCAAATGCTTTTTCGTAGTCGATGAAGTTGATATAGAGTGATGAATTCCATTCAATTGATTGTTCCACAATGATCCGTAGAGTTGCGATTTGGTCTGTGCACGATCTATCCTTACGGAATCCTGCTTGTTGGTCTCGAAGTTGGGCGTCTACGGAGTCCTTCATCCTGTTTAACAATACCCTGTTGAAGACTTTTCCTGGTATTGAAAGAAGAGTGATTCCCTTGTAGTTGTCACAGTTGCTGAGATCGCCTTTCTTTTGTATTTCGACCAGAAGTCCTTCTTTCCAGTCTTTTGGTACCTGTTCCTCATCCCAAATCTTTCTGAAGAGAATGTGGAGTATCCTTGCAGTTGCCGCTACGTCTGCTTTCAGTGCCTCTGCTGGAATGTTGTCTAGTCCTGCTGCTTCGCCACTCTTGATTTGTCTGATAGCCATGCTGATTTCTTCAATTGTTGGTGGGACAACATCAATTGGGAGGTCTGTGAGTGCTGCTTCGATGTTGGGTGGGTTCAGTGGGGCTGGTCGATTCAAGAGTTCTTTGAAGTGTTCTACCCATCTGTTTCGTTGTTCTTCAATGTTGGTGATTATCTTGCCTTCCTTGCTTTTCACTGGTCGTTCTGGTTTACGGTGATTTCCAGAGAGTTTCTTTGTTGTTTCATACAGTTGTCTCATGTTTCCTTCTCTGGCAGCCTTTTCCGCCGTCAATGCCAAATCCTCCACATATTTACGTTTGTCAGTTCTGATGCTCCTTTTCACTTGCTTGTTTACTTCTGTGTATTCAGCCTGTGCCTTGACTTTTTCTGTTCTTGTTCGACTGGTATTGATTGCTGCTTTCTTGTTCCTCCTTTCTTGAATCTTATCCAGTGTATCGACCGTGATCCAATCCTTGTGATGGTGCTTCTTGTGGCCCAGAACCTCATGACATGTTGAAGTGATTGCTTCTTTTATCTCTTTCCAGTTGCTCTCCATAGTAGGTCCTTCTCCATTCAGTAGATCATGAAAGGCTTGGAACTTATTGCTGAGGGTTATCTTGAATTTATTGAGTTTGTCAGTATCCTGAAGAAGAGCCATATTAAATTTTTGTGATATTGTCCTCCCCGTTGTCCAGTGCCTCTTGAGTTTCAATTCCATCTTGGCGACCAGCAAGTGATGGTCGATTTGGTTCTGTGTGGTGTGATCCGGTGAAGTCCATGTGGTTTTGTGTATGCGTTTATGTGGGAATATAGTCCCGCCTATGACCAGTTTATTGAAGGCACATAGATTTGCAAATCTCTCACCATTTTCGTTCCTTTCTCCCAGTCCGTGTCGTCCCATGATCTCTTCATATCCGGTGTTGTCAGTTCCAACCTTGGCATTTAGGTCTCCCATTAGAATAGTCAGGTCTTTTGTTGGGCACTTCTCGACGATTGACTGCAGCCTATCGTAGAATTGATCTTTAGCGTCTTCGTTGTATTCGTTGGTAGGCGCATAGCATTGGATGACGTTCATTGTAATCCCCGTTTTCTTGGTTTTGAAGGAGGCTTTGATGATCCTTGGTCCATGAGATTCCCATCCTATAAGTGCATTTTGTGCTTGTTTGGACAGCATCAATGCAACTCCTTGTGTATGTGGAGCATTTTCTTGTTCATGTCCGGAGTATAACAACAGCTCCCCTGAAGCTAGTCGTTGTTGTCCAACTTGCGTCCAATGTGTTTCACTGATCCCAAGCACCTCTAAATTGTATCTCCTCATTTCTGCAGCAATTTGGAAAACTCTCCCAGTCTCCCACATTGTGCGAGCATTCAATGTACCTAAATAAATGGTTGCCCTGGTTGTCAGAAGGGGCATCGGCCTCGTGACTTCCGAAGAAACTCGGCTTTCATCGTGAGGCGTCATAATTCTTCTAAACGAAGACCTTCTGACTCCCAGGGCAGAGTTTAAATGGTTTGAATAATTCTTTCTGGTTAGCGTTTTTTTAGCGAGTTAGTTTTCTACGGGATGGGGTCGCTAACCCCATGCCCAACCCTCCTCCCTTATCCGGGCTTGGGACCGGCAGTAGCCCCCGGAAAGTGGCTACAGGCGGAGTTAGTCTGCAGTAAGATAATAGTAATAACTTGAGGTGTCTCAGTCTGTTTTCATATGAAAGGTTAGAGAGACTTTCGGGTAACACAACTCTAAGTATTGTGCAGTGATACGAACCATCATAGTTAGTTAATTTCATTACCACACAACTGTTAGAATTTATTCTTGATAATCATCCACTTATCCATGCCATTATTCTGTCTGACCTACCATGTATGATTCTCCAAATCTTTATGTAATCAGAGAAAAAAAAGCGGTTTGTTGTAACAGTTAAAAGGTAATTTACATTGTAGTGTCCTACTTTTGTCAACAGAACACGATCGGTTCGATGAAAACAATTACTATTATAACCAATTGTACCAGTGACTGTTTTACTGTGCTTGTTTGTTTAACTATGCTAATAACAGCCATATTGGTTTTCCATCGAACTGTATTACTTCTGCGCGCTTCCTGACTCTCTACGCACGTCCTTTATCCTGCCGAGTCTGCTTGTACCGTTTTGGCACGATCTTGGTATTCGTTCAATACCACGAGATCGCCAACAAATAAACTTGGTTACGATCTACAATCGCCTTCTGATTTACTTGGTACGCGCTCGATTTGTAGTGGTGCTCATAGTCAAGCTCAACTCGACACCACGCTACAATTGGTGAACCAAACTTGGTAACACGCATCAACCTTTGGTCAAATCTTCCAAAGAAGTCAATCCGGTGAGTCTATAGTTTATCTATCCACGTCTGTCATATATTTTCATATTAATTTTTAATATATAATATACACGACATGACGGATAGCGATAAAAGCAGCATTAATGTTCTAGACTCAGATGTACAGGCTATCTGTTTTTGACCTGTACCATTTATTCCCTATGATCCAGAGGTTTGGTTCGCTGCAGTAGAGTCTCAATTCAAGACTCGCCGTATTTCGAGCCAAAAGCAAAAGTACACTTTTGCTCTTGAATCATTACCCGGGGATCGTATAGTAGCTGCACGTGAGGTGGTCCTTAATTCAAATGCCCCCAACGCCTACGATCGCCTCAAAGAGGCTATTCTTCGATATTTCCTCCCATCGAGGGAGGAACGATTAAGGACATTGTTAGCACGTCACCCTCTGGGTGATGCTAAACCAAGTCAACACCTCACGCACCTGCAGTCTCTTGCAGGACCTACAGCTGCCGACTCAGAAGTAGTTAAAGAGCTATGGTTCGAGTCTTTACCAGCACATATCCAACCAACCATCACGGCCCTGCTCGAGGACTTACCACTTAACCAGGTGGCTCTCATCGCAGACAAAATTTTGGCAAGGACTGGCAACCGAGACAACTACGTAATTTCCTCAACGTCACGTTCAAACGTGCATATCGACGCCAGTCACTTCTCGGCTCAAGGTGATAAAGGCGACCGTATTCACACGCGTCTTAACTTCGAGATCGCTGTGATATACCCAAACCCTAAGTCCCTCGAGCCCGCTCAAGCTCTCGAAAAGCCGTCAACACTAGCCCAACGAGGGCATCTTCCAGGCCACGCCGAAAGACGGCTTCGGAAGCGAGTGAAGGTTGGTGCTGGTTCCATCGATCCTCCGGGTCTGGTGCCCGCCGTTGTCGAGCCCCATGCTCATACAAGGCGGGAAATGCCAAAGCCGGCGAGTACGGCCGCTTTTACTCGCCGGCCCTGCCGCTCAGGTTGGCCGTTTATTTTACGTGCACGATTATCGCACGAACGCTGGGTACCTAGTGGATACAGGTGCTCAAGTTTCTGTCGTACCACGTGGTTGCATCAAGTCACAAGCTGCAATGCTTCGACTACGCACTGCGAATGGCTCAGCCATTCCTACCTACGGTACACGACAACTCGCGGTCAACCTGGGCAACCGATGACGGTATCTGTGGTCGTTCATCATTGCCGATGTTCCCACAGTCATACTAGGTATTGATTTCCTACAGCACTACGAATTGCTAGTCGATTCACGTAGGCTGCAGCTAATCGATACTTCGTCGAACAGTAAAGTCATGGGCTTCAAAGCTCACACAAACGCGTACCTAATCCTCGGCACTTTTTATTCGCGTGACGATAAATTCCACGCTTTATTCGAGAAATTCCCCAGAATAAATAAACCACTCGAGAAGATTTCATCGGTGACCAATCGTGTGGTACATCACATAGTCACCCGCGGACCACCAGTCACGGCAAGACCACGCCGACTGGCACCGGACAAATTAACTTTCGCTAAACGTGAGTTTTACAATTTACTATCTATTGGCATTATTCGTCCTTCTCACAGTCCCTGGGCCTCTCCTGTCCGCTTGGTGCGCAAAAAGGTTGAAGTTGGTTGGAGACCATGCGGCGACTACCGAGCTTTAAACGTAGTTACGCGCTTTGATAGCTACCCCATCCCCCACATACACGACATCACGGCACCGCTCAAGGGCACGACTATCTTTTCTAAGATCGATCTGGTACGAGCATATCACCAGATTCCAGTCGCTCTTGAAGATATCGAAAAACTGCTATCACGACTCCGTTCGGTCTGTTTGAGTTCCTACGAATGCCATTTGGATTACGGAATGCTGCTGAAACTTTCCAAAGGTTTATCGATAGCATAGTACGAGACTTGGATTTTGTTCACGTTTATATTGATGACCTGCTAAACGCATAATCAAACGTAGATGAACATTATCAACACCTTACGCTATTATTCCAACGCCTCTCGGGTAATGGAATAGTAGTCAACCCAGACAAGTGTGAATTGGGTAAACCAGAAATAATATTTTTGGGTCACATCATCAAACAAGAGGGTATTCTGCCTCGCGAGGACAAATTTCGAGCAATCAAAGAGTACAACGTGCCGTCCTCACTCAAGGAACTGAAGGCTTTTCTCGGTTTGCTTAACTTCTACCTACGTTTTATCCCTCACGTGGCAGAACGGTTTGACCATTAACCGATTCACTTCGCGGTAATCCACGCAAATTAGAATTGAACGATACCGCACGTACTGCATTTTCAGAGATCAAAACGGCTCTTGCTGAAGTTACACTTCTCGCTCATCCTGACCCATCAGCCACGCTTAGTATAGCGGTTGATGCATCAGATTTCGCTATAGGAGCCGTTATGCAACGGAATATCTCCGGTAGTTGGCAACCGCTTGAATATTTCTCACGACGCCTTACTCCGACGGAGATGAGATATAGCGCTTTTGGTCGCGAGCTGCTAGCAGCTTACTGTGCCATAAACATTTCCGGCGCGCAGTAGAAGGACGCCAATTCATCTTATTCACCGACCATAAGCCCTTAACGTATGCCCTGCTTACCAAGTCTGACCGCTACTCACCACGAGAGTGCAGACATTTGGACTATATCTCTCAGTTCACGACAGACCTTCGTCACATTAAAGGCGAGTCGAACTATGTTGCCGATGCTCTATCACGTATCCAGACGAATGCAGTTACCTTACCGGTGCTCGATCTTCCTGCTATGGCCGCCACCCAAGCAAACGATCCTTTCCGCACAGAAGCACCACAATCTTCGTCCCTTCAGTATCAGGAATACCCCTAGCCACTAGCTCAGATACTATCCTATGTGATACTTCTACTGGTCTTCCTCGATCCATCGTACTCTCTGCTTATGGACGTCTCATCTTCGATGCCCTTCATGGATTGTCTCATCCAGGTATCGCAGCCACATTACGTCTCATCGCTGCACGATACGTCTGGCCGTCCATGAATAAAGATGTTCGTATGTGGGTAAAACAATGCTTACAGTGTCAACGATCAAAAGTGCACAGGCACGTAGCTGCTCCCATTGGCACGTTCGCTACGCCTGATGCTCGCTTCGACCACGTTCATATAGACATTGTAGGACCATTGCCACCATCGCTTGGGTATGATCACATACTCACGTTTTACAAGATGGCCCCAAGCTATTCCCATCACGTCTTTCACGGCGGAGACAGTTGCTCACCGCTTCGTAGAACGATGGATAGCATTGTACGGTTGTCGTTCGACTGTCACGACTGACCGGGGACAACGATTCGGGTCCGCATTATTCTCCTCACTGACTCGGCTGCTTGGTACGGAACGCATGCGCACTACCGCCTACCATCCAGCATCGAATGGTTTAGTTGAACGGTTTCATCGCCAACTTAAAAGTGCTTTTCGAGCACATGAGAACGACAATTGGTAGGAAACCATGCTGCTCGTTCTCTTAGGTATCAGAACGAGTTTGAAGGCAGATATTCAATGTTCCGCCGCTGAACTTGTATACGGCACGACATTGCGTCTGCCTGGGGAATTCTTCACACCACGGAGCAGTGAAGAATTCTGTAAATCAGACTACGTCCATCGACTGTCTGCATTTATACGAACGCCGTCTCCGGTGTCAACTCGAATACAACATCGACAGGTCGCTCTCCCTCGAGAGTTACCTACCTGTTCACATGTTTTCCTACGAGTAGATTCGGTACGCAAACCTTTGCAACAGCCTTACGAAGGCCCTTTTCACGTGATCTCTTGTCACGAAAAGACCTTCAAGGTTGATCGACACGGCCGCGTCGAGATCGTCAGCATTGATCGTCTCAAACCAGCACACGTCGATGACAGTGCCCTGCCCGATAACTTGAGACTCGATGCTAGACCTATCAAACCTTCTAGCGGGATCTCTACGTCTACCTCGAATCCCACGCTAGATACATCAGAGACCTCGTTCTCACGTCCCGGTCAACAGCACGCGTCATCTGCACCATCTACGGACGAGACTTTCGTCTCACGTCCAGATCAGCAGACCACGCCGCCCTTGACCTCGGATGAGATTGCAGGCTCACGAAGTACGAACGAGACTACCGTCTCACGTTCCGGTCGCCGGGTACGTTTACCCGTACGCTTTCGCGACCAACCGCACAGTCAATAACAGATACGGTGTAGGATTATGCCTATACTACACGCATGCTACACTTTTCTTTTTTGATTTTTTTGTATCCTGAGCCCACGCCTCCGACCATCGCTCGTTTGGTACCGTTGATTTCAGTCAGCCTTGGAGAAAGCTGGCTTGATCACCCACTCTCTTGTCAACACACTCAGTCGATAATCTGGTTTCGAATTCGCCTGGCATACGCTTGGTTTCGCGTTTGGTCATTATGGTCGACTCCGGTTTCTTGGCTCAACGTGGTTTTGTCCTACGTCTGCAGCGTTTTCTGGTCCGCACCCCTACGAACGCAATCTTCAGATCCTGGGTACAAGCCACTCTGGTGTGGTGTGCTAACTCGAGCAACAAATACAGCACACTTTTCCTGGTACCGTTCTACGCAAAAGACTTTCGTTGGCAACTCAAGGGTCAGCGATCGCTTCCTGCTCCGCCAATTCGTTCATCCCGCAACCACACTTTTGCCGATCAGTCCCACGAATCAAACCGCTACTTATCGAAAGTGTAAACCCTTTCTAGCGGGGAGCTCGTGTAGTGACCTACTTTTGTCAACAGAACGCGATTGGTTCGATGAAAACAATTATTATTATAATCAATTGTACCAGGGACTGTTTTACTGTGCTCGTTTGTTTAACTTTGCTAATGATAGCCATTACACTTATTTGAACCTGTAAGAATTCGGTTACGCTAGTAACCACGCTTTTACTCCTTTGGCACGATCTCGGTATTCTTTCGATACCACGAGATCGCCAACAAATACATCTGGACTACAGCCATCATCTGCCTTCTGATATTGGCCTACGGGGATCTTATTGGTTAATTGGCACGTAGTCTTGTAGCGGTGTTCATGGACATTCGCGATTCGACACCACGCTACAACATAAAGTAAAACGAGTAGAGGACCAAGGATTGTCTTCAAACCATTTTGGTCATTATAATACATTTTCGCATTGCTTTTATCAATGAATTTTAAGTGGATATCAACGGAACACCATTCCTTCCATCCGAGATTCAAAATGTTTCAAATTGTTTTGGTGGGAAAAGATGAAAACTTCGCTTCGGATTTACTGGCAGTGGATCAATTTTGCTTTTATGTAGGAGCTTAGGTATTTCAGACGATGAAATGGGAAATATTTGTAAACTATAATGTCATTGTGTCATGAGTCTTTGAAAATTTGGCAATGTTTCTCTTGAAGGAATCGTGAAGGGTCATTAAAATAGCCTCAGCTGGCAGAGGATTCAAGACAGTGAACTGTCGGCTATGCTATATCATGTTCGTAATTTCAAGGTGTTTCTTCTACGTTTTGTGTTGGAACTAAGTTTAAG